TATGGACCAGGGCAGAGGGTCTATATCAATCTAGCCCAGCAGAAAAATGAATGAAAATTGAATTCCCCAAGGAGAATCGGGGAGCTGTTATCCAGACAGAGATAAATCAAAGGATGCCATAGAGACAGGGGAGAGCAGGTTTCCAACAGCAGGAGAATAATTAAGGAAACAGTTTCAAAATGCAAATGATGAAAGAGAGCTTGAGAAGAATGAAGACAGAAGGAGGTGACTGGAGATGGGGTGACGGGGAGCAAGGGTGGGCATCTGTCCCTTAGGGGAGCAAGAGCCCGGGTTCAGGATTCCTGGCATCTGAGGGTGAGCTCACCCACTCTGGGAAGTCCTATAAGGTAAAGGTTAGAAGACACACAAGTCTGCTGGGTGGAGTGGAAAGAGCACCAGAATGGGAGTCAAAGGCTGGATTTAATTTCCAGTTGGCTCTGCAACTTATTAGCAGTGTGACCTTAGGCAAACCACTTAACCTCTCCGTTTCCTGATAATCATACCCAAGCCCAGGCATGATTATGAAGATCAAATGAGATAAAATATGTAGAACAACTTTGTAAAATGTAAAGTGCTAGACAAATGCAAGCTATAATCATTTTCCTAAATTGGGTTTCTGGAGATTCTTCCCTCAGAATTGGATCCACTGGCATGTTAGGTTTGGTTCCCAGAAATGTAAAGTGCAAATGTCCAGAAAGTACAGGCTCTTCTTACTGACTGCTGACCAATTGCTCCAACAGAACATAGACCTGGGAAGAGCCCCATCACCACGGACCCATCCTCTGGTGCCCAGCCTCCAACTGAGTTGTAGCCAAAAACCACAGGTCTGAGGTCAGCTCTGAGGGCTGTTGCCCCTGGGAAGTAACCTGCCAGCCCTGGGTGGCCTCCAGTGAAAAAACCCTATTGAGTCAGCTCAAAGTTTCAAGTCCAAGCAGACCCACCCAAAGGTCTCCCCGTGGGATCCAGTCATTCTCCCACTCTCTGGGGGTAGAGACTAGCTTAGCCCCTGATGGCCTTGGTTTTCATCCACCAAGTAGGTATAATAGTATGATTTGTTGAATTGGTGTGAGGAAGAGATGGAATTATGTAGGCAGAACCACTCACTACCTTGGTGCCTGGCTCAGTTATAAACTTGCAATGAATGTTGGTTATTTATTATTGCCACGGTTTGCTATTTTATTGTTATTATTAATCGCAGTAGCAGTAGGCACTCAAAAATCTGTTTAAGGAGAGCTTTTCATTGTGGCTTCATCATTTATAGATGGAAAAACTGAGGCCCCAGGAGGGAAGTGAAATGCCTTGGCAGAGGTGTGGTATTAATTGAAGATGTTGGGAATGGGACCCAGCTCATACCCAGCAAATGCCTCTAGAAAAGTCTCAGAATGTGGAAAGGGCATTTATTGGCTGAGCTGCAATGTGTGTACATGTAGGAGCATGTAGGGATGCAGGGAAACTACTTACTGCTCAAGAACTAAGTTCAAGAACTGAGAGCCAATTGGACCTCCCAGGGCTCTTCTGCCATTGGGTGTAGGTGAAAATAGCATCCTCTACATCTGTGCTGGGCATAGGAGAGTCCCCATTGGGTGTAGTGAAAACAGCATCCTCTACATCAGTGCTGGGCATAGGAGAGTCCCCTGCACAGTAATTCTGCCCCTCACCCAGTGACAGGCTAGTGACATACAAAGATAAGAGGACAGGACTTGGGCAGATTTATACCAAGAGAGCAGGAGCTGCTGAGAGCATTTTAAAAATGAAATTTTGAATTATAAAAGTAATTGTTAGATATGTTCTACATTTCACTGCATATAAATAATTTACCTTTTACTAATATTACTGAAAAATATATAACCACTTTACAGAAAGTCTGGAAAAGAGAAAAAAGAAAGAATTCCATATTATTTCTCCCTAGTACTTTTTTCCCTAATAGACTTTTGAACAGCATTTTGATATATTTCCTTTCAGCTTTGTTCTCTAATGTTTCTGAAAACAAGTTTTATTAGTTTTTTATTAGAAAGTAATCGAGGAAACTGAAAAAAGCAAAAAGCAAATAAAAAGATCTACTATACAGATTATCACTTTTATATTTTAACATATATTTTCTACCTATGCTTTAAAAAAAATTATCCTAAGGTTCATACTGCTTCATATTCTTTTTTGCCCACTTTCTAATAATTCTCAAACACTTTTCTACATTATTAAATATCCTTCTGTTGTCTTTTCTAATGACTATGTATATTATATATATATATATATAGTTTTAGTTATTTAATAATCCCTTACTGTTGGATATATAGATTACTCTCCTTAAAAAATGTTATAAGCATCTTTGCAATTATATTTTACAATATTCTTGATTATTTTCTGTAATCAATTAAATAATAAATCTGATAAATTTCTATTTTTACGTGGATGAATTGGGTCACATCCATCACCCTTTTAAGCTATAAAGCATGATGCTAAGATGCTCTCAGAAGGTGATGTCCTTTGTTGCATCTCCACCAGGAAATTGTTTTCTAATTTTCCCCACACCATAGCCAACAATGGGTATTATCACTGCTTTTATCTTTGACTAACATTTTTACATGCTTATAATCATATATGACATCCTGCTTTTTACAAATTTAGTATTTCACAAGCATTCCTATGCTGCTAGATTTCCTGGTTTTGCTAATATATAACATATTGCCAAGCAAATGTAATATTCTTCACTAAACCACTTTTATTCTCTTGGATATTTAGGTTTTTTGCCCTTCCAAAATGTAGTGCTATAATAATCTCCATGTTTGAATTTTTTTCAAATTTTGGATTATTTCTGAGGAATAGGCACTCAAAAGTAAAATTGCATGAGCTTAAAGGGTATGAAAAATTTATGGGTTTGATACATATTGTGAAATTACCTTCAGAATAGATTTAAGAGTTTATAAACACATCAGCAATATTTTTGAGTGTCCAGTTTCGAAGCCCCTCCACCAGCAGTGAATTGAGCAATTTTTCCCTCCCCAGTTGGTCATTTAATAGACAAAAAAGAGGTATGTGCTATGATTCTTTGTTTTGCGTGTCTTTGATTGCTAATGAAATTGACATTTCCTCGTGTTTGTTTGCTAGTTGTATTTTTGTAGAAAACATTTTGGAAAACATTGGAAAAGTCACTGGGTTATTTTATTTTTTCTTGCACATTGGAACCACCTGGCAGGTAAACAGAAGCGATGATGCCATCCCAGTACCAGGACACCTTAAAGTCCTTGTGACTTCATTGAAGATAAATTCTAAGCGCTTATGGCCATGGCACCACCCCCCACCCTCATGCTCATCCCGGGTGTCCCCGGTGGGGGACAAAGCCAAGAGAAAAAGCAGGGGACGCTCTGGAAGGCTGGAGGGGGTACGCCATCTCTCTTCTCACCCGAGCTGGACCCCACTCACTAGGCTGGGAAAACACGTCTGTCTACATCTCGGGAACGAAATTCAGAATGGGGGGATCACGAGGGCTGGGATCCATAGAGGCGGCGGGTCCTGTGGCAGAAGGAGGTGAGCTTCTCGCTTCTGCAGTCAGGCGGCGTCGAGCATCTGATGGAGCATTAGAGAACCTCCGCGGAGACCGGTCCCAGAGGTGGGCCTTCAGTTTTATCTCCTCCAGACACTTGAGTTGAGAAAACTAAGTGTTTGTGTTTGTGTGTCTTGTAAATACAGTAAGCAACACCTGCCTTCACTGGTTAGCCCCGCTTCTCCGCGCGCGCGCTGCCCCGCACACAAGAGGTCGGGAACCGCTGGAAGCGCCTGCCCTTGCAGCGCGCGCCAGGCAGAGCTGCCTCTGGGGACTTGGGCAGGACCGAGCTGGGGACGTGGGCAGAGCAACCCCGGACCCCCCGCTGCCAAAAGGCGCGGGGCCCCGACTGGGCCGAGGAGGAGGCCAGAGCCCACTCAGGGTTGCCTGCCACGACGTGCGGAGGCGCGCACCGGGGGCCCGCGCCCCGCCACCTCCATGCACAGCCCCTGGCCTTCTTCCCCGGCAGCCGCCATCCTCTGCGGGACTCGCGCTTTCCGGGCTGAGTACAGGCTGTCCCCGGCCCAGCCTCAGCCAGACGAGGGGGAGAAAGAGCAAGGGCTGGGGAAGCGCCGGCGGGAGAGGACTTGGCCGGAGAAGAGGAGGAGGACAGAGTTATCTGGCCACGGAGCGCTCTCGGTCTGGTGGAGAGAAGCTCGGGGCCGAGAGCGCGCGAGGGGCAGACTCCCCCGTGTGGCCCCGGCCTCTGGAGGGTAGGCCCGCCCTTCCCTATCCCTTGGTCAGAATGGAGGGGCGGAAAGGGCCTGAGCCGCTGGCCGTGGCCGGAACCCCGGGGTACCCGCGGAAAGCTGCGAGCCCTGGGCGCCGCCGTCCCGGACCACCTGCTGCAGCGGGTCGGCCAGCCGCAGTATTTATACCCGGGGAGCGAGCCCGCACGCGGGGCGCCGGGGGAACAGCCCACGAGGCCCCGCCCCGCTCCAGGCGGTCCCGCCCTCCGGCCCGCCGGCCTCGCTAGAGGCCGCCGGGACCCCAGCTCCGGCCGGGGTCCGCCGCCAGCTGCCGGGTGTGGGGATTGGCTGAAGGGCGGGCCTCCCTGCGGAAAGCGACGTCACGGCCGTCCCTGCAGTGTGAATGAATCAAAATGCCTGGGTGACCGCGGCCTCCCGGGCGGCCGGCACGCGAAGGGTGGAGGGGGAGGGGGAGAGCCGCGGGCGGAGGAGGGAGGAGGGGAAAAAGCCAGAGCCGCAGCAACAGCGTCTCCTCAACCCGGGATGTGCACCTACCCGGGAGAGCGAGATCAAAGGGATTTGAAACAGACTGAAGACTGGCGGGGGGGAGGGGGCCAGCCAGCCTGTGGAATCCTCCCGGAGAGGCGGAGGGTCCGGCTTCCACGGTGACTTCCGCGGCCTGGCTGGGTTTTTTATTATTTTCAAATTCTGAATCCAGCTTGAGAGAGAGCCAGAGATCTCCGTAGACTGCGACTCGCTGGCTCTCCGAGATGATGCAGAGCGCAGCTGTCCCCGCGGAGGGGGCTGTCAAGGGGCTCCCGGAGATGCTTGGTGTGCCGATGCAACGTAAGACACCCCCCTTTCTCGCTGATCTAATTTGATAACAAGACAGCCAGCAGCCTTGGCCGGTGCAGGGTGGGCCGGACGCTGCGTGTAACCCGGACCTGAGGGGCGAGGCGGGGCGAGGGGCCGGTGGCCGGGGCGCAGAGGTGGTCATAGTGTAGGGGCACAGGCCAGAATGCGTTTAAAGGGCCTGGCTCTTGCCTTTTGGGGTCGAAAATGAAAGCCTCCCGGATCATACTCGAGGCGAGCTGAGGGTACCGAACCCCGCATCTCCAGCCCAAGGCTTTTCTAGGACCGTTGGGGAGAGTGCTGTTTGGGGACACCAGGGGAACGAGCTGCAGGCCAGGCCTGAGGGCTGGGGTGGTCACCGCAAATCATCCTTCTCGCCGGGGCCACCGTCAAAGCTCGCAATACCTCCAGTGCAACTTCACCCCAGCAGGCGGGAAGTTGGAGAGCGCGTCCCCCGCCCCCGGGGCTGGCGGCGCGGAAGCCCAGGCCACACGCTCAGTCTCCGCGCGCAGGGCGTGCGCGCCTGGTGCGTCCCCAGCCGCTGCTGCCCGCGGCGCCCGCCCCCTGCGCCGCCGGGGACTGCCTGCTCCTAGCGAGGAAGTCCACTCGCCATATTCCAGCTGGCCGAGGAATGCAGGGGAGGGAGAAGCTTCAGGAGGAAGTTGTGAAGTCGGGGTATAGCCTTTGCGCGCTCAAGGGCAGTCACCCAGAATGGCTTGGACTCGAAAGGGGAGAAGCTGGGATGTGCAGGTGCTTTGCTCGCCCACCCTCCTTTCCCGCGCCCGAAATTCTTAGGGCGGCGGGAGCTCGGGGCATGGTTCAGGTCTGTGTGTGTGTGAGGGGGGGAAGTGGGCAGAGCGCGCGCAGGGATTTTCTCCGGAGGAGTCTGTCTCTGTGCCTCAGTCCCTAACGGAGAGTCTTCGATGGAGAATCTGTGCGGACCCCGATCCGGTCCCGGGGCGTCGCGCGTGTGTGGCTGGCGCCGCATGAGTCCTACCGCGCTGGCTCGTAGGCTCTGCAGAAAGTCCCCGGGCACCGTGGGGGACCAAGAGTCCCCTCACTCCCCTTGCCAAGGGGATGTGCTTCCGCCCGCGACTTCTTTTGGTGGAGCGGTTGGTACATTCCTTTGGTTTAAGACTGGCTCGTCCGCAGACCGTGCCTATGAACCAGGGCGCACGAGCGCGCCCTCCTGCGCCCGGCTCTCCATAGCAGGGTTTCTGCCCCGGCACTGCCTCAAAGGGCAGGCTGGAGAGCGCGTGTCCCGGGCTTTCCTGGGAAGTTTTTGAGAAGGGACTAGAAGGATAGCTGTACCTGAACCTGTTTGGGTTCTTCCTTGACTATGTCCTACAGTTATCCTTTGTCTTTTTCAGTCAGCTATGTGGGGTTTTTGTTTTTGTTTTTGTTTTTTGGCAAACAACTCCGTGTCTGTGCAAGTGCTTGGGGAGTTTCCTGCTAAGATGTGTTTGATAAGGAGATGGGGCTTCGCTGCTCCTCTTACTGCCCCCAACCAAACCACAGTCAGGGAGAGAGGGGGTTGTCAGTCCCTACACAAACGAACACTGGCAAAGATGTTCCAATCCTTAAGCTGGCTGTAGCTTTGCACAAGTGAAAGGAGTGTGTGAGTGGACGGAAGGCGTGTGTGTGACTCGTGTCCTTGACACCCGGTGTGCTTTAATAGTTGTCTGTAGGTGGCCTTTCTGTTAGGACCGCAACGAAGGACGGTGGGCTCAGCTCTGACAGCCTTTCTTGGGATGCGCGACATACTCTCTCAGATTGTCTCACTTTTTGTTTCCCTTGCTCAGAGACAACTTTGATTTCGACATCAGGGACTCGATTTCCTAAAATGCCTAGAACTCGCCTTCAGAGCTACAGTTCTCCTGGGCTCCGAGTCTGGGTTCCCACCGTGGGAAACTTGATGAGGTAGAGGAGGAGACTCATCCCAGAGCAGCGCAGCCAAAGCAGCGCCAATCCAGGAGGGGGGTCTGTACTCCCTTTTTTTTTTTTGCCCTGGTTCTGCAGCCTGGGTTTGAGGAGGCACTGGCCAAAACTGAAGGGCCCAATCCCAGACGACTTGCGGATCCAGATTTTGTTCTTTGGGGGTGTATGTGGACTGGACTCATCCCCTTGCAGCAGATGTGACCACTGGCTCTCAAGCTTTTGGTGCTGGGGACTGGGCATGGTGGGGTGTGGTCCCCTTGCACATAGGCAACCATTCTCTCTTTCCTGGGACATGGGATCCAGTAGCCAAAGGACTGGGTGTGGAGGTGGGGTTGGGGGATCCGTCCTTGGGTCTGAGGGAGAAAGAAGGGTAATCAGAGACCTGTGAGTCTTTAAACCTGGGGACGAAGAAACAACAGGAAGGCTCTCCCGCAGGGGTTCCTCCACCCCGCTGACCGAAGGTTTGGGCTGTGCCCCATGTACAGCACACACATACACACGGTAGCTTCTTCACCCTGAGCCACCAAAATACAGCGCTTGGGGGCGCAGATCTAGGGTTTCCCCCAGCCTCCGTGCCACTGGCCCTGGCCTCTAGGGGCGTTTTTAGGAGTTTGAATCCAGTTTGTCTCGAGGGCCGTCAGAATATTCTTTTATTTCGGTTTGGGTGAGGTGCATTCACTTCAGGAAAACATTACCAAATAGTAATAAATTGTCTGTCTTGGCGGTCCCCTTACATTCTGCCCCCACCTCCTGCCACTGCACAGTCTCCGGCAGACTCTCGCTGATGCGGTCGCCCTCCTTTCTCACCCGCCCCACCCCCACCCCCGGCTTGCAGGCCCCGTACCGGCCTCGCCGGCTCTCACAGCCCCGGGTACTGTTTCACAGTCCTGTCTCGGGACAAATTCGACGGTCTTCATCGGTTTTCAGGGGCGTCGGCCTGGGGCAAGAAGCTAGGAAAGAATCGGGGACGGGGGCGCAGTCTGGGATGATCTCGAGAGCAACCGGGGTGGTATACCCCCACCCCCTGAAATCTCGGACGGGTCTCTGGCCAGCCTCTGGTCTGGTCAGTGTTTTCTAAGGAACTGAAGACCCGGGCTCCTGGCTCTGGGTGGCGAAGGCGCTCTGTTTGTAGGTGCAACCTCAGGGTCACATCCAGCACCGACCGTGGGCCCCCTTTGAAAGACTTGGGTGATATTTTTCAGACCGAGTGGATAGGCTCAGAAAGGGACCTCGTCCTAAATTGGTGGGTCGCAGCCACTTACCCACGATTTAAGATCGCAGATCTCTCGCTGCCCCAGTATCTCCCTCCGCCTGCCTCGAGGCAGCAGGAACACAAGGTCGGAGTTCTCACTGCGCCAGGACCCCTGCAGCCTTGGGCGCGTGAGCGCTTCCTGAGCCTGGTCCAAACCTCTCTCTCCCCGAATTCAGCAATTTCCCTAAGCACCTGGGTACTGCCGGTCCCCCTTGCGTGCCGAGACAACTCGGAGCAGTGCGGGATATATGGGGAGGTGCGTGTTTTATAGCCCCTTGCCTTCGGTTTTAGCCCATCTTCCATCTTCTCCCGAGGACCGAGGGAAAGGACAGTGGACACCTGCGGCCCCGGGATTGCTGGCTGGAGAGCTTGCCAACCCGGGCGGGAGGAAAGAGCCACCGATCCGGTCCAGGCTAGCGGTGGTAAATGGGGAGCAGGTCCAGGGTGTCCTGCCCTTCCTTGTCTCCTAAAATATCTACTTCTTGCAGCTCTCGTGACCCCCTAAGCTATGAGAAAATGGTATTTGATTGTTTTTGGTAGGAATCTGGATGCAGAATTTTCTAGGACGTCCCGCAACCCTTTCTTCCCTTCCTGGGGCTCCTGCGGGTGCGTAGGGATAAATCTCCCGGCACCAACCGGGTAAGACTCCTCGCCCCCCGACGTTGTGTACGATCCTTTTTGGAAGCCATTTCTTAAGGGGTGGAATGGACTCATCTCCCCGGCCGAGAGTTCTCTCAAACTCTAGTGCAGCAATTAGCTCTTTTTGCATTTCTGCCTTTTCTCTTGGTGCTAAAATAAAAACACACAAAGAACACACACACACACACACACACACACACAGAGAGAGAGAGAGAGAGAGAGAGAGAGAGAGAGAGAGAGAGAGAGAGAGAGAGAGAGGCGGTTTCCAATATAGAAATTGAGACAGCAGCCTGGGTACCGCAAACCACCTTCCCCGCGTCACAAAAATACTGGCAGGCGCAAGCCGACTCTTTAAGGTTCAGACTGGCAGCTGTCCCCCCCGGCACATTCGGGCTTCGCGGGTTTAGGATTCAGATTCTCCACCCGCGAGGATTTCGCCCCAGCCTCTGGCCAGAGTTGGGCACCACCCCAGAAAGGAATTTGGAGAAATCTCGGTGACCGCGGCACCGCCCTGCTTGGGGAAGCTGGTGGCCCAGGCGTCCGAGGGATGAGCGGGCTACCGCACTCCCTGGCACTGCCTGGATGAGACAGGGAGCCCGCCTAGGGAAACTGCCGTCCCAGTGCGCTCAGGGCGCACAATAAACGAATGAACTCAGACAAGGAGCAGGCAGGTGGGGCGAGTGAGGGGCGAAGGTCTGCACTGAGGGGTCCCCAGGGTCCAAGGAAGACGGAAATGTGGACTGAAGGAGGAAGCAGGACCTAATTTGAGTTGTTTCTTGCTTGGTCGCGGTCCGGGCTCGCGGAAAACCAGAGCCAGTTAGCGTCGGGCTCGAGCGGCATCCTCCGGTCTGGGGGCACGACCTGCGTGACCTCGCCGCGACCCGGACAGAGCTCCTTCGCCCAGCCGGCAGGCGTCGGCCTGGGTGGCCCGGGGAAATGACGAAGAATTCCTTCAACACGAGTTTGCTACGCACCTGCGGGCAGCGCGTGGTCCTGGGAGCGCGCTTGACGCGTGCCCGGGGGATTTGAGGGCTTGCCATTGTCGGCAGGTGGAGACAGGGCCGCCCTCCCGGGGAGTCGGCTTTGCGCGGGTCGCGTCCCTCAGCCCTGGGGTAGAGCAGGGCTGCCAAGCGGGCAGGGGAGGGGCGACCTCTGTGTCCACCGC